TCTCTTGTCTCGACCAGCACATTCCAGTAGATACATGTCCAACCATCGTACAAATTCGTGAAATACATATAACAATATGGAATAATAATTCTAAACATATGGTTACGTCCATACAATACATTTCTATTTATATTATCGACATTCCCATACAGCACCGTTAGATTGCAAAAACATTACAACAATCTTTCACCGCAATATTGCAATATTGCAAATTTACTGCAAAATGTTGTTACATCATTGCTGTTGAATTGCAGCAATGTTAAAATGTCCGCTTTTTGGAAGATAATAAAATTATTGATTATCGTCAACATCTTTTATTGTACAATATTGCAAAAAATTATTTTATTACAGTATTATACCCAGTAAATACCAAGTTACAGTTATATAATTGTTAGTTGTAATTTTCCACTCAACAATATAATTGTTATAATACACGTATTATATTTTTGAGTGGGAAATTACAACTAACAATTATATAGCTGTAACTTGGTGTTTGCTGGGTATATGTATATATATTACAATATATAAATTATAGAATTTGGATTACATGCAATATTTCCGAAATATTAATATCATGTTGCTACAAGTGTGCTGGAATTTTGTGCACCTATATCTCTGCAATATCTTTATAATGTTGCATTGCAACTTGCAACATTGCAACGTTGCTGCAATATAATTGCAATAATCTGTGCTGTATGGGTTCCTTGGGATAGATTGAATCTTAAACTACAAAAAATTCTTGTTGTTATCAAGAAAAATTTGACTGAATAAAACATCGTGTCTCAATCGATTTTATTTTAGATTAAAACAACACAAGCGCACACTGTGCGCGAGCTATTCTTCGATTTAATATTACAAAGAATGATATTTAAAGAAAATAATATAAGGTTTATTTACACTCGATTAATGTTTTTTGACAGAAATCAGCTGGTTAAAGCATTAATTTGCTAATGAAATTTAAAATAAATTTGAATTATAAGAATTAAAATAATAATCTTGTAAATAAAATATTATAATATTTTAAACTCGTATAATATTTGAAAGTAGAAAGGCTATGAGAGCTGACCACGGATGCATATGCGTTAAGATCGCGAAAATTTAAGTCTTTCGCTGTCTTATAATTATGTACGAGGCAAGAAATTTGCTTAACACAATGCTAAGACTTATTTTAGAAAAAAATCTCAATTCAAGATATTAAATTCCTATGTTCCCCTTTGACCCCCCTGAAGTGATGTAGGCGAGAAAAATATATCGGTCCGAAAGTCACTGAATCGAGGATTGCATATTTCTTGACAGAAATCAGCTGATAACTTTCAAAAATAATAATCAAGTTTAAAATACTATAACATATTATTTAAAAAATGTTATTATTTTAATTTTTATTACATACTATTATTTTAAAATTTTATTAGCAAATTAGCATTTTAATTATAGTTGATTTTATAAAAAAATATTAATAAAGCGTTGATGTATTAATTAAATTTTAAAATATCTTAAAAATAATATGTTAAATATGTATATGAATTAATAATATATGAAATAATAATATGTTAATTAAATTTTAATATCTTAAAATATTGAAATAATATAATGTTTCAAATAATATGTTTTAATGCTTTAGGACTTTATGCACATTTAATTTTGTTGACGGAAATCAGCTAATAACTGTGAAAAAAAAAAAAATATATATATATATATATATATATATATTCGAGTTTATAGTATTATAATATGTATTTATTCAATTTTTTACAAAGAGATGTTAAGGGATATTTTTTTAATTTTATTTTGAACAAACTTTCAAATTTTTTGTAATCACAAAAGCATGTTTTTCTATAATTAGCCTATATTTTCTAAATAATTCTATAATTCTTAAATCATTTGGATTCGGCTATATGTTTATTAGATATTTTTTATTTATTTTCATATACTAAAATCACAGTACCAGTTTTGGCAATATAATTGTAAGTCCAGAAACATCCTGTGTATATAACGTTTTCGAATGTAGTTTTCTTTTCAAAGAATTTTTTTATTTTAGAAATAAAAAAGTACAATGAAGTCAAAATAATGATTTATTTTTCAGAGACTACCTAAGATCTTTCTTTTATTTATAACGTTTAGAATATTGTTTTTCTTTAAAGAATTTCCTTTCTTCTTGTAACAAAAAAATTTCTTTGAAACTCGAAGGGCAATAAAAAATCTCTCAGGCAATAAAAACCAGAGTTTTGTTCTTAAATATGTATTGTTCTTAACACTATGAGAAAGCGTTAAGAGAATGCCAATAAATCAAAAATTTTAATGTTTATCCACTTTTCTAAATTTCTACGATGAAGTAAAAATACAGATTTATTTTTCATACTCACTAAGATCTTTCTTATTATTTGTAAAATTGAAATATTGATAAATAAATTAGAATTATTAAAAATTTTGATTTTTTATAAAGACATTAATTTTGTCAGCTTTTATATGTGAGTATTTGAATAATGAGTAAGATGATGAAAGAAGGAAAATTGGATTAGAATAAAAAAAATTAGATTAAAATAAAATAAATTTTTATGGATAAAAATACATTTTTATAAATTTTCTACATTATTTTGTTATAATATTTGAACGCATAAACAAAAATAATAAAAATAGAATAAAACATTTTATTAATATAACTAAAAGAAACGATAATTAATAAAACATTAAAATAAAAACAATTATTCATAAGTACATAAAGTAAAATAAAATTAAATAAAGGCTAAACCAAAGAAATTATTAATTGTTTAAAATTAAGGAATATATTGTTAAATTTACGTTTAAAATACATTTTTAACATAAACACTGGAACGTACATACTTTTCCGGCACCCTCTAATCATGCACATAGATCGTTTGCGTATGCGCAATTTATTGAACTATCTAAAACGAAAATTCTGAAAAAATTCATAGATGTTTCTTAAAGATCTTAAATTTTTAATCAATAAGAATACTATAAAACTAATTTTGCAATTATAGATCTTAACTTAAGTTTTTAATCAGTAAGAATACTATAAAACTAATTTAGCAATTATCTTAATTATCGAAAAAAGGAATAGAGGAAACGCTTTGTAAATAAAATATAATTATTATTAATTAACTTGTTAAGAAAAATCTTCATGAGTATTTTTACTTGAGGTTAGACATTTTATCAAAAAAAAATATATGAGATAGAACCATAATTTGTTCCACTTTATAAACACAATTGATCTTTTTCTCCTTCCATGTCTTTCAATTCTATAGAAATATCCTGCTGTTTTTAACAACAAACGTCGTTGCTGAATATCGAAAAAATCTTAAGACCACCCATTTTTGGAAATTGACATTTCCGATTCGCAGACACCCACACTTGTTCTTCATTGGACTCACCCCCTCAAGTGGTACGTAAAAAAATATTGAAAAACGCGATTACGAATTTCTATTGGTAGAATTCTATCAAGAAGACGAAACGGAAGGCGTGAACCAAAAAGCAGGATATAAAATCAAGAATTTTCTTATGGAAGGAGACATTTAAGTCTCGCTCAAGCCACTCGCTACTAGTGTACTGTTGCATTCATTGTCAGATAAATCTCCGAGAGTATTACTGATCGTGTCGCAATAATTGTCGCAGTTTCAACCAGCTAAATAAGAACGACTATATTGGTTTTACCAGATTAGTTTTGTTTACCGATTTTTCATCGCACACAATAAGTAGTAAGTAAACTGAACATTTAAATCCTACACTTATTCTTGATTCTCCGAAGTAATTCTTGAACTTATAAGCGTAAATGCATTTTCTTTTTTTTCTTTTTCTCTTTATTAACCCATACAGCACAGAACATTCCAATTACATTGCATCAATGTTGTAATCTTGCAAGTTGCAATGTAACATTATAGAGATATTACAAGCACATACCCAGTAAGCAAAAAATCTTTGCTACAACGTCATTATATTGATGTTAAGTATGTAGTTTTTAACATTGTATGCAACATCATTATGAACAAACTTGACATCGATTTAGAGGTTTCGGTAATGTGGAAATTAACGTTTTAAAATATTTTATTAATATTTTGAGACCAATATGTTATTAAATAATATTTTTAAAATATTTATAAAACATCAGTTAAAATATTTTTTAATATTTATTAATAACATTTTAAACATATTTAGAAAATAATTCAATAAAAGGTTTGAATCGCCAGTGATGATAAAAATTATTTATTTTTATTAATATACGACCAAACTGATTATGGTTAGTTGGTCGTATATAGCAGCACATAGCCAGTTTGGTCATATATTAATAAAAATAAATAATATTTATAAAACATTATATTATAACATTTAGAAAATTTATATAAAATCAACATTATAAAATGTTGATTAAATATTTCTTGCTTACTGGGTGTATAGATTTGATTAGGACCGTTTACACGTGACAGGCACATGTACGAAAGTAGCGAGAAGGTGGGGAATGCGAAATTTTGTGGTAGGGCATAAGCCGACACCGAAGAAATCAGTTCAGTTGTAATCTGTACGCCGAATCGACTATTAGCAATTATAATCTTGACGAACTAATAAAGTGAAAGTGAAGCATTATTACATCAATCATTGAATTAACTTAACTTGAACATCCATTAACAATCACATCCAATAAATTATATATTGGTCCTTCGAGCCGGATCACGCGTGTTCGCGTGATTAATATTGAGACAATTCTGTGCTATTAACAATCGCTATTAACAATAAACTATTTGTGCTATCATACTATTTGTTAGCTGATTTGCAATAATAATTCATTCTATTGATCGCTGAAACATTCCATTCGATACAAATCAGCAAAACATTGAGCGACGACCGTTGGTGTTATCGTATCCTTGACATTCCTCAGTCTATTGAGATAAGACTAAAGTTTGTGTTGTTGAGCCGTTTTTTTGATCATTTCGATATCGAAATTCAATTTAACGATTGTGAGCGTGATGAAGCATTAATTAGTGGACAAAATGAGTGCAAAACAATTGCGAAGACAACGAGGACAAGTAAAGGCGAAATTAACAGCAGCAATTAATTTCGTACATCGAATTGCCGGGGATGCAGAACTCACGACGCGAGAAGAAGTCGAATCACGTCTTCGGAATTTGGAGGAAGCGTACGTAAAATTTCAGGCTATTGTACAACAATTGATTGTGATAGTGCCGGAAGAAGATTATGAAACTAGAGATTTGACAGAGAAAACGGATTTTGACGAGCGATATTTTTCCGTCAAGGCATCGCTGTTGCAAGTCATCGAGAAATTGAATTCAGTGTCTCCCGCATCGACATCCAGCAATGGAAATCAAGAAAACGATGGTACGCTATCACAGGTCTTGGATCAGCAAGCCACTATTATAAGACAGTTGTCGGAACGATCTAATGAGACGAGTGGTGGAAGTACGCTCTCACAGATATTAGAACAACAAATGCGAATTTTGGAGCGTTTGAGTGTGCAATCAGGTTCGGTGCGAGAAACTCACGTTAAATTGCCAATAATCAAGTTACCGACATTCGACGGAACCATCGAAGAATGGAAACGGTACGCTGATACATTCAAAAACTTGATACACGAGAGCGAATTATCCAATGTACAGAAACATCAATACTTAGTCGGATCGTTGAGCGGTCCTGCAGCAAAAATAATCGAGTCGATTGATATATCCGACCAGAATTATGAGATTGCCTGGGAGTTACTGAAGAAACGATACGAAGACGAGAGAGCGATTCGCAAGCGGCATATTCAATGCTTATTTGAATTACCACGAGTTCATCGAGAATCAGCTACTGCAATTCAAGAATTGTTGGATCACGTTCACAAGCATTTACGAGTTCTGCAATCAATGAAACTTCCGACGGAAGCTTGGGGAGAACTAATAATCCATTTAATTGAGAAAAATTTGGACAGCAGCACAAGGGGACGTTGGGAGGAACACATCGAAGAATTGACGGAGGTTACAACGACTACAATGACAGACTTTTTACAACGACGATGTCAAGTGTTAAAGCGGGCATCGTTGAACGAAGTCAAAGACTTGACGATCAGGAAGACTCATGGTCACGAGAGGAACGACGGAAATAAACGAGGTTTGTTCCATGCAAAATTACAGCCTAAAACCTCGTTATCGACAACGATTCAAGGAGGAAGGTGTTATTGGTGCCAGGGACAACATCTGATTTACACGTGCAGCGAGTTTTTGCGCTTGCCTGCCGAAGACAGACTTCAAGAAGTGAGACGGAAGAAATTATGCATCAATTGCCTTCGAAACGACCATTTCGTCAAGGAGTGCAAGGCGAGTTCGTGTCGTAAATGCGGAGAGCGACACAATACGCTATGTCATCCGATCAGCGAAGGCACGAGTTCCACAACGAATACAACCAAGAAAGCGATGGGAAATGCGGAGAAGTCATCGAGCGCTGCAGGTGGAGCGGTCAGGTCTGATCGAGAGGCGAGGGTCAGCGATTCAACGAGTGGTGCGTCCGTGTATCATTTATTGAGCGAGAACAGACGTAAGGAAGTTTTAATGTCGACTGCGATTGTAAACGTTCGAGAAAGTAAAGGACAATTACGAATTTTATTAGATAGCGCGAGCGAAACTAACTTTATAACGATGGAAGCGTGTAAAAAATTGAATTTAAAATTAGAAGATATTCATGAGTTTATTAATGGTTTGAACGACATGAATTGCGTAATAAAACACGGTTGCAGATTACAGATACAATCGCGAACGTCGAATTTTAATGTAAATGTATGTTGCTTAGTTGTTCCCAAAATAACAAAAAATTTACCATCATTTTCTATTCAAACGGCGCAATTATCAATTCCTGAAAATGTTAAATTGGCGGATCCGTTCTTTGCCAGTCCCGGCAAGATCGACGCATTAATAGGTGCAGAATTTTTCATGTCTCTATTGCAAAACGGAAAAATTGAGCTCGGTAAAGATCTGCCAACGCTACAAAACAGCAAATTAGGTTGGATTATATCAGGTTCAATATCGGAGAATTTTGTTGTTGGTCGATCGATAAATCGTCAGCCTTCGAATGCCCATACGTGTTTATTTGTCAGGAATGAAAACATCAATAATACGCTGCTTAAATTCTGGGAGTTAGAGGAATATCAAGGTAATCAGAATACAAAATTGTCAACAGAAGAGCAAGCGTGTGAAAATCATTTCATAAATACACAAAGTCGAGACACGTCAGGACGATTTATCGTTAGACTGCCTTTCCGAACAAACAAGGCTCAATTAGGCGAGTCGCGAGAAATAGCAATAAAGCGATTATGTTATTTAGAACGCAAATTCCAACGCGATAAGGAATTTCACAAACAATATTCAAATTTCATGCGAGAATATATCAAACTGAATCATATGTCGAGGATTACCGATTGTTGCGATACGAGTTTACCGACATATCTGCCACATCATGGCGTGCTTCGCGAAACGAGCATTACAACTAAATTGCGAGTAGTTTTTGACGGATCAGCCAAAACTACATCAGGAATTTCATTAAATGATACACTAATGGTGGGAGCAACTTTGCAAGACAATATAATCGACATAATTTTACGATTTAGATTGCACGCAATAGCAATCACAGCCGATCTTAAAAAAATGTATAGACAAATTTTAGTACACGAAAAAGACAGAAACTATCAAAGAATTGTGTGGCGATTCTCTTCGCGCGATCCTATACAAGAATTTCAATTAAACACCGTAACGTACGGACTAGCGTGCGCGCCTTTTTTAGCGATACGGTGCGTTAAACAATTAGCTGGCGATGCAATCAGCGACTTTAGCGAAGCGTCGTATGTACTGTTAAATGATTTATATGTTGACGATATTTTGACAGGCGTCAAGTGCACGAATGACGCAATCAATTTAATTACACAGTTAAAGAATTTGCTAAATAGCGGCGGATTCGAACTTCATAAATTACATTCGAATTGCAAAGAAATCGTAAATAAATTTGCAACGATTGATTCGGACGAAAAGTCATCGTCGGTCAAGATCACTGTAGATACCATAAAAACATTGGGATTAAATTGGAATCCTGAACGCGATATCTTTCACTTTTCCAGTCAACTGATAAACAATTCTATTAAAACAAAACGCGAAGTACTATCAGCAATCTCAAAACTGTTCGATCCGTTAGGTTTAATTAGTCCTATTTCAATTCGTGCTAAGTTGATCATGCAAGGGACATGGTCCTCGAACTTAAATTGGGATGATCAGCTGACGCACGAGATCCAACAAGCATGGGATGCGTATGCGGACGATCTAAAGGAAATACATGCAATTGAAATCCCGCGTAGAGTCATCTCGTCCTCCAATGCGAATCAATTCTATTTACATGCATTCTGCGACGCCTCGTTGAAAGCATACGGAGCATGCGTCTACCTACAAACTATTGATAATGACAATAACTGTGTGTCACATCTATTGTGTTCAAAATCGCGAGTGGCACCCGTGAAAAATAAGACGATTACAATACCAAAATTAGAGCTTTGCGGAGCCGTAATCTTGACTCGATTAATAAAAAACGTTATACAAGCTTTAAAAATTGAATTAGATGGAATATACGCATGGAGCGACTCTACAATAACTCTTGCATGGTTTCCGGCGATCCGTCGCGCCAAAAAACATTCGTCTCAAATAGAACGGCCGAGATTCAGTCCGTCGTTCCCGCTATCCAATGGCGTCATGTCAGTGGCGCCGAAAACCCGGCCGATTTAATTTCACGCGGTGCGGGACTAAATAATTTAAAACTATGTAAGCTCTGGTGGGAAGGCCCTGAATGGTTATCAAATATTAATAATTATTCACTGTGTGGAACGCAATTGGCAAACCTTTCGCCGGAAGAAATAGCGGTCATTCACTCCGAAGAACGGTCGGAATCACGAGTAACGTTGCATACGAGTAATTCAAGAAAAACAATTCAGACGTTACTGAATAATCATTCCTCACTATCAACAATTGAACGCATAGTAGCATGGATTTTCCGATTTGTTTTTAACGCGAAATTGAGTAATCACACGGAACGTAAACGTGGCTATTTGACGATAGGTGAGATTTGCAATGCTCATCGAGCTTTAATTATATCAATACAACAAATTCATTTTGCAAATGAATTATCAAGTATAACAAAGGGAAGACGTGTTGAATCAAATAGTCGACTGCTTCCACTTGACCCGTTTTTTGACGAAAAGGGTATTCTCAGGGTGGGCGGCAGACTCAAAAACGCGTTAATAACTTTTAATAAAAAGCATCCTATCCTATTGCCTTCAAAGGACAATTTCACGAAATTGCTATTCCAACGTGAGCATCTCAGATTGCTACATGCTGGCCCACAAGCATTACTATATTCCACTCGTCAAAAGTATTGGACGATTGGAGGGAAGAATGTCGCGAAGAAAACTGTCCACAATTGCGTGATCTGCTTTCGGAATAAACCAAGGGCATTATCACAATTGATGGGACAGTTACCCGCAGATCGCGTAATTCCGAAGCGTCCATTCTTAGTGACCGGAGTCGATTTTGCTGGGCCAATTATAACTTTAATTAATAAGGGTCGCGGTAGGAAAACTATCAAATCCTATATATCATTATTTATTTGCTTCACAACAAAGGCAATACATTTGGAGGCAGTTAGTGATTTGAGCTCTGCATCGTTCATCGCAGCACTCAGACGATTTGTCGGTCGTCGAGGTTGTCCACAACGCATTTATAGTGACAACGCGACAAATTTTGTGGGTGCAAAAAATGAAATTAACGAAATGCAACAATTCATAAAAGAAAGAGCTCGAGACATAAATACGGAAATATGCAATCCTAACAATATTGAGTGGAAATTTATCCCACCATCGTCACCTCATATGGGGGGAATTTGGGAAGCAGGCGTGAAGTCTTGTAAATTTCACTTGAAACGCATCATCGGTGAAAAGCTATTAACATTTGAAGAATTATCGACAGCGTTAATTCAAATCGAGGCATGCTTAAATTCGCGCCCTATTTGCCAATTGCCTTCCACACCCGCAGATCTCCAGCCGCTCACACCAGGGCACTTTCTTATCGGAGAACCGTTAACTAATCTTGTAGACATTGACACAAGTGACGTGCCGATCAACCGTCTTGATCGTTGGCAGCTAGTGCAAAAAATCACGCGAGATTTTTGGAGTCGATGGAGTAAGGAATATTTAACTTCCTTATAAAGAGAAGCAAGTGGAGAAGTGAAAGGTCGAACATAGTAGTGAACGATATTGTTTTAATTCAAGACAACAATGCCGCGCCATTAAATTGGAAATTAGGTAGGGTAATAGAAACCCATCCAGGCCTGGACAACAACGTACGCGTAGTTACATTAAAAACTGCAAACGGAACATATAAGAGAGCTATTGGCAAATTGTGTAAGTTACCGATTTCTGATGACAATTGACGAAATTAATTAACATTAATTGGTGGGCGGGATGTATAGATTTGATTAGGACCGTTTACACGTGACAGGCACATGTACGAAAGTAGCGAGAAGGTGGGGAATGCGAAATTTTGTGGTAGGGCATAAGCCGACACCGAAGAAATCAGTTCAGTTGTAATCTGTACGCCGAAACGACTATTAGCAATTATAATCTTGACGAACTAATAAAGTGAAAGTGAAGCATTATTACATCAATCATTGAATTAACTTAACTTGAACATCCATTAACAATCACATCCAATAAATTATATACTGGGTACAAATATAATATTTCATGAGAATGTTACAACAACATTCCATAAAAATTATAAAAAGCATTATTTAGTTTCTTCATCTACTACTATGCGACCATTGATGCTCTATCTATCTCGCATTTAAATTTTATGTAGAATTACATAAAGGTTGGTAAAATTAACACTAACAATAAGACTGAAAGTATCATACTTATATCTTTTTGCAACGCCTGTTGCGAAAGTTTGATTTTCGATTGCTGTTTAGTGTGCGGAAAATGGCTTATTTCTCAACGATTCAATGTATGCCTTACTTTACCTCATTAATGCGGTAATGTGTTACTATGGTTACACTTTACCGTACTAGTGCGGAAAAAAATCATCTTTCTTCTCGATTGACATAATAAACTTGAACGTAACGAAATTCACGTGAGACAAAACGTCAATTTGTTATAACCTTCACTATTCAAAAAGGATTAAATAGATAAAAGAAACGAGTATTCAAGACCGTCCACGCCGTTAGAATTTATAGAAGCAGCTGAATCTGAGTTTATTACCAAAAAAATCAAGAGATAAGTACATGAGTAAAACATCTCAAACCGAACTTTCGCGATAGGCATTACAAAAAATATTGTATGTGACATGTGCGGAGAACAACGAATACATCGCACGTAAAGTTGCCGCATTCGCCTGCTTAGCTTATGTATAGCACGAGTACTCATGTGAATGCATCATAAGCCTTCGGCTCATGCGGCAACTTCATGCGCGATGTAATTCGTTATTTTCCGCACTTGTCACATAAGATACTATTATCAATTTAATTTTTTTTACTCAATCCTAACACAGGAAATTCAGATATTAAAGTACACACTGAACTGATTTCTTAGAAATCGGACAGATAAATATTCGATGAACTCGAATGAATGTTCATTGTACTTTATATACTTATTTTCAAAATAAAATTTTTTATTTTATAAAGTAAATTAATTAAATTTTATTATATAATTTTTATTTACTTAATTATATTGAATTAAGTTGTTTTGTCATAAAAACTTATAAATGTTATAAAATAAAAGTCTGTTAGTTTTTACAAAATGAAAAACTTTATAATAATTTTCTAACATGTAGAACGCTTCAAAAACATAAATATCTCTTTGTATATTCTCAAACACAATAGTTATCTATAAGTAGGGATACTAGGAGAGTTCTAACCCGGGGGCAATGAGGGGGGGTGAGGGGCGGGGGGGAATCGGTGGCGAGGGGGGTGACGTCACGCGGGGGGAGGGGGTCTTATCAGTAGATAAGCTTATCTTTGTTTATAAACATATCAGATAACCTGATAAGGGGATCATGTTACCTGATAAGGGGATCATGTTACCTGATATATTTATAAACAAGATAAGATAAGGGGATCATGTTACTTGATATGTTCATAAACAAGATAAGATAAGATAAGCGGCGTCTTTGAGCGGTATCAAAGTTTTCATAAATTTTCTCCGAAAATCCAAGATAAGATAAGCTAAGTTTTCGAATCCAAGATAAGCGGCGTCTTTGTAAGGTATCAAAGATAAGCGGCGTCTTTGTAAGGTATCAAAGATAAGCTTGAGCGGTATCAAAGTTTTCATAAATTTTCTCCGAAGATAAGATAAAAATTCTGCGAATGGCTGCCGCCGTTTTTTTAGGCTGAGCGCCGACAATCAAGGGGGTTGCGTTTCTTCATCTAAATTTGATAAGATAAAAATTCTGCGAATGGCTGCCGCCGTTTTTTTTAGAATCCAAGCTGGATCGAGCGCCGACAATCGGATATCTAAGTTTGATAAGATAATTCTGCGAATTACTAAGAACAAAAGGTTTGCCGACAATCAAGCGGGTTGATCCGTACAGGTTGCGACATGTTAATCCGATCCGACGTGTCAATCCAGGCTTGGATCCGACGGGGTGAAATTTATCTATGTATTTCTAAGAATTATCAGCGATATCTAAATTTTCTCCGAAGATATCACACAAATATTTCTCGCGAATTAACAATTGCATCATCATCCCCACGAACAAAGGGATGATCGGGATATATAATGAGGACCGATGCAGCTGCCGGGCCATAGTACCACTGGCGAGCGCACGCTTCATTCGAGGTGCAAGAAAAAAAGTTTAGTGTGCAAAGAAGTTTTTTTGTAATAAGTGTGAAAAAAGTGAATTTTTTACAAAAATGGAGAACGTTGAGCGCGACCTGTTGGAGCGTTCCCGCCAAGTTGCTAACTTGGGCGAATATTTCGGATGGCTGCAAGAGTGCGAAGAATTTATCGAAGAGCTGGAAGAACGCAGCCGTGCCAAGCGTCCGCGTCTCTCGATTGGACATAGACAATCTCTCGTGGCGAGAATAGCGCGACTCGAGGGTGCGAAGGTGCGCTTGCAGAGACGGTATGTCGGTGAATCCATGCCTAGTGGCGGCGGATTCAGTGGCGGCGGCAATAACGCGCAAAGACTCGTTTGGCGCGAAATCGATACGGCGTTCGATAGCCGTATACTGACCGGCGCGGTAATTAACGCAGACCACATCGAACCGCGTCAGTTTTTGGAAAATGCCAAAGACATTGTAGTCGAGAACGTGGAGAATGTGCTACAAAGACACGCCAGTGTAAAAGTGAACACTGTTTTCAACGGTGAATTTGTGTCCGGTGACAAGCGCGCCAATAAAAGTATTAACACGAGAAACTTTGAACTCTT